CAAAAGATTATGTGTCTGTGCAGAAAGAAAGAAAACGACAAGCCATTCAAAAACAGATTACTAATGATGACTATGAGAGAAGCTTATAAACGATTCAATGAAATTCACTGCAATGTAAAAATTGGATTCTCTTCATTTGCAAAAATCCGCCCTAAGCAATGTAAACTTTTAACCAGCACTGGAACCCACAATGTTTGCGTGTGCACAACGCATGAAGACATCAATCTAATTTTACACAGTTTGAAAAAACTTAACCATTTAAATAATGTAAAAACGTTCACTGACAGCCTACTTTGTGAAAACATGACAACATATTGCTATCTACGGTGTTGTGAAGATTGTCCAGACTCTTCCGCATTAGAAAACATTTTATTAAAACATCAGCTTTAATTGAACAGTGGGTTACTACGGATAGATGTGATTTAGAAACTATTGTAAAGCCTGCAGACGAGTTTGTTTCATTTTTCTGCATGAAATTGACAAGTTTGATACCACATGATTTCATAAAAACACAGCAATTTAATTTTTTGAAAACTACACGAAATAATTTGCAAGAAGGTGAATTTTTAGTTACTTGCGATTTTTCCGAAAACTACAGCTTTGTGTTACAGGATTAAGTTCAGTCTCATCACTGGAATGTCAAACAAGCTACCATTCATCCATTTGTTATATATTTTAGAGAAAATATGAAAGTTAAACATTTAAGTTTTATTATAATTTCTGAAGAGTTAAGGCATGACTAAGTGACTGTTAACTTATTTATTTTTAAAATGATAAGTTTTTTACGCATTAACCAAAGTAAAAATATCAAAAAGATTTATTTTATGTCCGATGGAGCCGCGTCACAGTACAAGAACCGGTAAAAATTTGCTAGCCTTTGTAAATTTAAATCAAAGTATGGAATTGAAGCCGAATTGCATTTCTTTGCAACATCACATGGGAAAGGTCCTTGTGACGCTATTAGAGGTACAATAAAACGCATGGCTACTAGAGCAAGTTTGGCCAAAGAACGTGAACATCCAATAAAAAATGCAAGAGAGCTTTATAATTGGGCAAATAATCGAAAAGAAGAAGAATTAACAAAATTATCATTCACACCTCAACGAGCAACATAATAATGCAAAAATAATTCAAGGAACTCAAAAGTTTCATTCTTTCATGTGCAACTGCAAAGTTTAAGGAAATGGATTGGGCTTTTCGTTAAAAATATTTTCAAGGTTAAACACTCACGAACAACATCTCAAAAGGGTGAAAATTGCACAAATTATGCGATAAGTGAATTTTAACCTGTCACTGTCACTCTAATATTTCTTCCCTTGCCTTACCTTACCAATCAGGCTAAGGCCTTGTTGTCCTCTGCTGTCCGAAGAAGTCGTCTCCACTCTTCTCGATCCATGGCCACAGTTCGCCAGCCTCGTAGTCTGCGAAGGGTCCGCAGGTCACCTTCTACTTGGTTGATCCACCTTGCCCGCTGCGCCCCTTTTTTTCTTGTTCCTGTTGGGTCGCTTTCAAGAACCATTTTCATTGGGTCGTCGTGTGGCATTCTTACGACGTGCCCAGTCCACCGCAGTCGCCCAATTTTTGCAATGTGGACGATGGATGGTTCTCCCAGCAGCTGGTGCAATTCGTGGTTCATTCGCCTCCTCCACGTTCCGTCATCCATCTGCACTCCACCGTAGATGGTACGCAACACCTTCCGTTCGAAAACACCAAGGGCGCGTTGGTCCTCAATGAGCATAGTCCAGGTCTCGTGGCCGTAGAGGACCGCCGGTCTAATCATGGAATTTTTCGACCGGAGCGTCCTCCGGAGTCCAAAGTAGGCACGATTCCCTGCCATAATGCGTCTTTGAATTTCTCTGCTGGTATCATTTTCGGCGGTCAACAGTGAGCCCAAATACACGAACTCATCGACCACCTCGATTTCGTCACCGTCAATCTGAACCGCGATGTTGAACAGCAGACACGAAAGTCCATCACCGTGCCGTAACCCCCTTCGAGATTCAAAGGGACTCGTGTGTGTGTGTGTGTGTGTGTGTGTGTGTGTGTGTATGTGTGTGTGTGTGTGTGTGTACGTGTGTGTGTGTGCGTGTGTGTGTGTGTGTGTATATGTGTGTGTGTGTGTGTGTGTGTGTGTGTGTGTGTGTGTGTGTGTGTGTGTGTGTGTGTGTGTGTGTGTGTCTGTGTGTGTGTGTGTGTGTGTGTGTGTGTGTGTGTGTGTGTGTGTGTGTGTGTGTGTGTGTGTGTGTGTGTGTGTGTGTGTGTGTGTGTGTGTGTGTGTGTGTGTGTGTGTGTGTGTGTGTGTGTGTGTGTGTGTGTGTGTGTGTGTGTGTGTGTGTTTGTAATTATTAAAATTTGTGTGTGTTTGTAATTATTAAAATTTGTGTGTGGTTGTAAGTGTTAAAATTTGCAATATTAGTTCCTTTCGAAATTTTTGTTGTTCCTCTATGGAACTTGTGTGTAATTCCCTTTTTGGAATTATTTTATTGAGATTCTTGTTGCTCTGTTTTTAGAAGTTTAATATATGAAAATAATTTTCATAATTGATTGCACAATTTTTTCTTCTTTTGCAGTGCCTTTCCAAAGAGTTAAAGCTTATTTCAGTGACTTTGCACACCGAAGTCTTGGAAGAATGTCCTAGGTCTAGTACCCGACTTATTGGGGGCACTACAATCCGTTGGAATGAACCTTCTTATAACTTTGAGGAAAAACGCTCTTGGAGTAGGGAATTGGATCTTTGAGGAAAACGAGTGATAGCCATGGAGTGTGATTATAAACTATATTTATTTTCTTCTATTTTTTCCTTATATTCTAGATTTGGACCCTAAAGGTTACACCACGTGGTCATGTTTGTTTCTTATCATCCTTGTTCCTAGTTGCATCGTTCTAGTAATAAAGTAAATAAATACGTCAAGCGCGGCACATCATCATTTGTTTTTCTTTCCACGCACTATTATGCCTCGGTTCTAGTAGTTCTTTCCTATGCGTTTCTTATCAATGCATCTCTTCTTAGGTAGCCCCCGTAGGAAAAATGATCTTCCTGCGCAGCAGGGTGCGTTATCTGAGCTGAGCTGGGTTCGAGCCGGCCTTAACGACGCAAGCTAGGAACATATAAGAATGACCTTGGCTTTAATCTGTTAGGCAAGTGCGCGCTCCATAAGCGGCCTTGGTTCGATTGTCTTTGACACCTAATTGTTTCATGTTATTCATTGCCCTGGGCGCAAAACCTACTCCGGCTGTTACCGTGCAGCCTTGACTGTGGTTTTTATTACTTTCTATCTTTGCGCTTCCTTCGGAGTGAATGATCTTTACTTGCCGGAATAATTTCACTTTATTCCTACTCATTCTCGCAAGATCAATGACCGACCGTGAGACTATAACTGGTTATCGATTTTTTTTTATAGTAATTGCAATGTTGCGTTCGTAACAACATTCATTGTTTTATGTGAAGCATAATATCGTACCTAAGAGTAAGTGATATACCTACTAGTCTAAGCTGTCTCATATCACCCGTTCGTAGGCAATGACGTCACTACAAAAAGCTGTTTCAGTTAAATAGATGAACATTGCGAAGAAATACAAACACCACCAAACATTTCCAAATGTCACTAACACCACGAAGCCTATTGGGCTGGAGCATATGTAAAAGTCATTGCCTACGAATGAGTGATATACCTATGAGTTACAGCTTGGACTCGTAGGTATATCTCTCACTCGTAGGTACTGATTCAACGTGTAAAAATATGTTGGCATAGCTGTCACGGAAAGGGCCCTTGTTATGCTTTGGGACGAGTATTGAAACGAAACGCTAAATTTTAAAATTTTAGAAAACTATACGAGGGGAAGGTAGGATCTGCAATGTCTAAAACTTGGTCTACGTGGTTTATGGACAGCGTCCAGGCTGAACTGAATGTTGCAACCAGCTTGTAAGTTACTCATAGATTTCGTTAGTAACAGCTGCTGTGACTCGATGAAGTTGCATTGTGAACTACCTTGCGTCTTCATCGTTTTCATGTGTGGTGTATATATTGCGGAACAATGATAATTTTTAAAAAAAATATATACTCAAAACGACTTCTCCGACATCGCTATTTTCTTGTAATGTTATGTAAAATTAAATGATCATTCAATTAAAAATACTTAAATAAAAAGTTGTTGAAGACCATCGAAGTGAAAATCAAGAAAAAGCATTTTTAACGTATTTTTTCATACAAAATCAAATATAATTTCATAAGTTTTCTTAAAACTTAATTAAAACATCTTTCACTTGAAGGGTCAACCATTAAAATCGGTCAAATGGTTCAAAAGTTCAAGCATTTTTGAAAAAAAATAGATTTTTCGGACCACCCTAGCACGGAAATGGTCACCCTAATGGCGAAATAAAGAAGTACGAGTGTAATAATTTGTGACAAGGAAGAACTATATATCAATTTTCACGAAACTCTGAGACTCACTATAACTTTTTTCTATGCGTGATTACCTCTCACCCCAGCAGGCCTGGGTTCAAGTCGCTGGGATGTTCTGAGGCATAACATCTCTGATCACGCCTTCCTTCGGAAGGGAAGTAAAGCCGTTGGTCCCCGGTTCATGAGTTGATGGGTCGATAGGTAGGGTCCAGGTGTGGGAGCTGCCTCTCTGGCGTCGGTAGCATTGGTGCTCAGCACGGAAAACAAGATCGACGGAAAACAAAACAAGAAAAAAAAATCTATGGAATTGCTGTATACATAGGGGAAATTATTGTAATGCCGGCCTAAATGCCCCTAATTTGAGCCCATACATAAATTCAGCAATCGACTAAATTTTTAATAGCGACCAAAAATATCCATAATGGCAAAAAACAAAAAAAAAATGGATGAATAGCAGATTTTTACCGATGGGCCTAATCTTAGATCCATTCACCAACATATGAGCATTTCCCCTATATATATATATATTTATTTATTTATTTATATATTTATTTATTTATTTATTTATATATTTATTTCTTTATTTATTTATTTCAGATTAAACCTGATCAGTTGAACAACGATGGTCTTGAAAGCGATTATCACTCTGGAGAGAAAGTATGGCTAATTCATCGATTAGGTTTCACGGCGGCATTAAAGTTACTACACAGTATTTCTTCCGATCCGAGCAAAACGCTGGTGCAACTCGAACATAACGGAGAAGAGCTGAGCGTCGATGAGGACGACATTGAAAAAGCAAATTTAGAATCATTGGACCTAGTTGAAGATATTTGCCAGCTTCGACATCTTAATGAGGCATCCGTGCTACACGTACTGCGGCAGAGATATGCTAACAATCTAATTCACACTCGAGCAGGTCCAGTGTTGATGTTTGTTAACGCGATGGCACCGTTGTCGCTTTATTCGGAAAAGGTAAGGTAATCCATCATTCACCGAATAAAGTTTCCACAGATATTAGGGATGTTCCGCAACTTCAGTCAATCAAGCTCATGTGTATGACTTTCATTTTTCCTTCATATCTGGATTACAGTTCATAAATTGTATTGACGAACAGTTGGATTACGTGCAAAGTTTAGTTATTAATTTGGTGTATACCTACTTTATAGGTTGTGTCGATGTTTCGCGGTTGTAAAACCGAGGATATGCCACCGCATGTATTTTCGCTCACGCAAACAGCATATCGAGCGATGTTGGAAACCCGCCGCGATCAAAGCCTCATCTTCATGGGACGTTCCGGATCCGGTAAAACAACTAACTTTAAACATGCCTTGTACTATTTGGCATTAGCAGCAGGTACGTGACAATGATTTACAATAGAATGAAACTTGTTCAACGATATAACATATTTATAGGTTCTGTAAATAAAATATTATCAGTTGAGCGAGTGAGCGCAGTTAATACGATATTGGAGGCTTTTGGAAATGCCAAAACATGTCTCAACACCAACGCAACACGATTCACTCAAATTTTCAGCGTGGACTTCGATCACTGTGGACAAATAGCATCAGCTTCGGTGCAAATTTTACTGTTAGAAAAATCTCGGGTAGGAAGACGAACCGGAAGCGAACATCATACATTCCACGTATTTACGCGTTTACTAGTTGGTGCCGAAGAACACCTCCAAAAAGAAATGTTTTTGGATAATATAAATATTGAAGAAAATAACCTTTTTATCACACTACCAACTAAGCTTGAAGAAAAGCAAAATGCATCCATCGATTTTGCGAGATTGCAACAAGCATTCAGTGTGCTTAACGTTGATCAGTCATCTGTAAAAGCTCTTTGGTATGTACTGGCGGCGATATTCCATCTAGGAAGTGCCAATTGTTCCGTTGTCGGCATGGGATCATCTGCCCGAGTTCAGTTTTCCAATCCATCTTCCGCAAGAAAGGCAGCCAACTTATTGGGAATTTCAATGGATGATTTGACCACTGCAGCTTTTTCGAATGCATCACACAAATCTGTTCATGGTTCTCCAAGCAAATCCAATTCATCCTCAGAGCAGTCAGATTTGGCGGCAGCTGCCTTGTATAGTTTAGAAGGGCTAGTTGTTGGTCTATATTCTGAAGTAATGTCAGCTGCTGTAGCGTTAGTGAACACAGCAATCGGCACTTCAAACAATACAGTTTCATCCATCCTTTTGATCGATACGCCGGGCTTCCAGAATCCAGCTAGTTGCGGACAACAAATGGGAGCATCATTGTCTGATTTAAGACACAATTACCTGCAAGAACGTTTGCAATTATTGTTTCATCACGTCAACCTTGTTGCACCTCGCAATCGCTATGCACAAGAGCTGGTAGAATTAGATGCTGGAATCATGCATGAGACGAATCCTACCCCGTTGGTAAATTTACTTGATAAGGCACCACAGAATCATGTAGTACGTACATCACAGAACAATCTTCGGGATCAGGACAAACGTGGCCTCTTGTGGATGCTGGATGAGGAAGTGATGTATCCTAATGCTAGTGACGATACTTTCCTGGAAAGATTATTCTCCTCAAATGCAGATCGGGAAAGCCAAATTCTTATCCGAAGGGGAGCTGGAATGCGGCAGTTTATCCTACAACATATGCAAGGAACTAATCCAGTATTATATAATTCATCCGGTTGGTTGAAAGGCAGTCACGAGCATCCATCAACTAAATGTGCAGTTAGTTTACTGCAGGACAGTAACAAATCTGAAATCAGCAACCTTTTTACTGTTTGTTTTACACGCAGTGGAGGTACAGTTTATTTTGGTTCTATCGTGGGCACAGAAGGTACACAATCGCTGCGACGTGTGTCCAGCATACGAAGATCGTTCACGTCTGCTGGAATCAAGCGCAATTCAGTTATGCTACAAGTTAAGTTTACCGTGGATGGCATTATCGAAACTCTAAGGCGAACCGGCACGCACTTCGTTCACTGTTATCTGTTGCAGCACAATGCCGGCATATCTGGCTATATGAATTCAAATACCAAAGCATTGCAAAGTGATGACATTGTTAACATACCACTCTTACGAAGTCAGGTAATAAATAAATCATTTGTATACATAGATTAATTCACGCGTTTCACAATATGAATTTGTTTATACTTTAGTTGCGTGGATCACAGATACTGGATTTCTCTCGGCTGCATCGTTTGGGTTTTCCAATGAGTGTACCTTTATCTGAATTTAGCCGTCGCTTTGGATTACTTGGTGATGGTGCACTGGGCGACGTTACCGTGGAGAACATTTTAAATCTCAACGAAATAGACCCTTCCGTGTATCGGATTGGCCCTAGTCAGGTGAGGAACAATAGATTGTTTTTTTTTTTCATTTATATTGAGTTTTCTTCTTGACATTTACGTTCTAACCAAAACTTCGACAGTATTCAATGGAAAGATTTTAAGTAAGGCTAAGGCCTACCGTGCCAGCACCATTGTGCAGTTCCAAATGATTGCGCACTCATGTATTTTCGATCGTTTCGCGATTTTAACCCTTTGCACCACACTGAAAAGAAACTCGCCACTTTTTTTTTAAAACAATGTATCTCGGATTCTACAGGGAGGGGAACCGGGGAATCGAGAAAATCAAAAAAAAAACAAAAGCCGGGAATTAGAAATCACTGGGAAGAAACGGGAAAACACCGTTAATCGGAAAAATTTTTTTGTTTGCTTCGTCCTCTCTCTGGTAAAATAAACTTCTGGTACTTGAACTGGACTGGGTTTTCAAGATTTTGTCACTTTGAAGAATAAGGAGCATTTAGAAATAATTCTGGGGATAACGCCAGGGTATTTCAGGATTAGCGAAAGGGGGTTTTGACTAGAACTCTAAGGCAATTGTGAAAAGAATTACAAGATGTCTGAGAGAAGAAGAGCTCCAGGTGAAAATAAAGGAAAGTTCTGACAAGAATTTATAGGCAGCTCTGAAGAGGATTCCATGACAATTAAGGATGATTTCAGGAGAAATTCTAAAGAATATTCCAAATGCAAAAAAAAAATGTTTTATGAAATTATGGAATAATAAGATATTATGAAAATATTAGCAACATGAAAAGATTGTGAAGTTTGTGTTTGGCACATGCCAATTTTGCTACATGTGAGTCGCAATAAGCGATTTTGCCATTAATTTCACCCACTCTTCGCTCTTCACTATTCGCGAAGATGCGATCAACAAATCGCTCATTGTGACTCTGTCAAAGCAGGTTTTATGTATCAAACACAAACTTTACAATCTTTTCTTGTTACTTACACATACAATATATCACCATAATATCTTATTATTCCATAAGTTTATAAAACATTTTTTAGTCAAAATGAATGGATGGCACCCTGTTTGAGGCTATTGAAATCTGAGGATAATGCCTGAATAATTCTGGTACAAATTCCATGGGAAATTCGAGGATTGTTCTGGATTTTAAAGAGTATTCCGAAGTTATTCGCAAAAGAGTTAAAATTTAAAAAGAATTCTAGGGTGAATTTTATTTTGTATTCTGCATTGTATTGGGACAGTTATAAAGAAAACTGCAGGGGGATCAGAGAGAATCTTATATGTATTTGAGGAAATTCTGAAAAGAGTTCTGTTAATCCCGCCACGTCCAATGGCCCGACGAGCCCCAGCAGCCCCACCGCTACCACTGGGACGGACGCATACACCTCAACGCGACCACACCCGTGTGTTGGTCAGAGGATCGTCGATCGTATGAAAGTCAAGCGGTCGACGGGTAAAATATGTAAACAAGCCAGAACAATAGCTGAATCGAGGAAGTAAAAAGTAAAATTAATTCTACTCGCAAGTGATGTTACCTTAATCTACCTAATTTATACTGTTAAACTTAAATACTATCAGTATCTAACGTGTCGATTGAACTAGACTACAGTATCTTGATTAACTTATACTACTTTGAACTTATCTAAGGTGAGAACTAGCTGGAAAATTAGTGAACTTATAACTAAACATATCTATATATACATCTAATAGCTACCTACAGCTGAAGAAAACCTTAACTTATAACCATAATATCTTGCTCTATGCAAACTAATTACTGCGGAACGAATCACCAAAAGTAAGTGTAATACAATATTTATATTTGTGCACGAAACATAACATTGTCCAATGTTCTCAGGAATTTGTATTTTTTTTCCATTTCGATCAATCTGCCGGAATAAAATTCACGGATTCAAAAGATTCGTTTTTACCGCCCAACAAGTTCTGTAAAAGGAATGATTCATAAGAATTTTAATCCAGAACATTAAAGACACTCTGTTAAGATTTCTGAGTGAATAATTATCATGACCAGGTTTGTTGTGGGTATTCGCATCTGCATCCGTAAAAGCGAAACATGAATATTTTCATCCGCATCTGCATTGTTCTACACAGATGTCACGTGGATTAAAAAATATTGTTAAGACCGGTAAAACATTACCCACTTTTACCTACTTTTGACTATAGTTGCTATATTCATAAACTGGCGGATAGAATCTCGGGAACCAGTTGAGCTGTCAACTAGCGGCAACCGACAACCGAGCAAATCACGACCAACAATAGAAAAGAGCACATCAGCTATTGCGAACAAAACTTCGGAAATCGTTTTCTCGTGACTCAAGACTCATCTACACAAGAAAATGAAATCCCGTCCTGGCGATTCGCGCATTTCGCGGGATTTCTAATGATTTTTATTTAGTTCACTTCAAGTCTAGTGAACTGAATAACAACGGCGCCGGTGGTGTAGTGGTAAGCGTGATTACCTCTCACCCCAGCAGGCCTGGGTTCAATCCCAGTCGGCGCCGCCGGGATGTTCTGAGGCATAACATCTCTGATCACGCCTTCCTTCGGATGGGAAGTAAAGCCGTTGGTCCCCGGTTCATGAGTTGATGGGTCGATAGGTAGGGTCCAGGTGTGGGAGCTGCCTTCCTGGCACGTCGGTAGCATTGGTGCTCAGCACGGAAAACAAGATCGACGGAAAAAACAAACCAAAGGAAAAAAAAAAAAAAAGTCTAGTGAACTAAACAACCTTAAGGCCTTAGAAAAAGTTAGCCTTATGATCCATGTCCGAGTGAAGTGGGAACACTTCAGGAAGACTGGAGGAAGTTTCCAAAACCTCACCCAGTGCCGTAAGTGCCAGGGATGGGGTCACGGAAAAAAAAAGCTACATGCCAGCTAAATGCATGAATTTGGGTGATTCCTCTCACGCAAAAGACGACTGTCCTGTGAAGGAAGATCATAAGAAATTTAAATGTTCAAATTGTGGTGAAAACCACAAATCCAATTTTTAGGAATGTAAGACTCGAAAAGCGATCCTACAATCTCGTTCTAAGCAACAGGTAGGAAACGCTCCACGTTCCCGACCAGGTACAAATTCCTCTGCTTCAAATTCTTCATCTATACCTGCTCCCCACTCTGCTAACAATGTTCAGCGAGTAGTTGGAGCTACCTATTGCATCGGGTAGATATCAAAATACTAGCTAACCCCTAATAAACGGGTACCATATACTAACGATATCATAGATGGTATGACCCTACCACATAAAGTTGGGATTATATCCCGAATTGGTAGTTAGGCACTTCTTATAGTTATTGTTTATGCGGGACATCATTCTAACAGAAATTTTGATAATTTTGATTTAGGTACCATTACTGCTCCTAAAATGGATTTTTTACAGAAATAATTAATTAACATGATTACTGATATGCTAAAAACTCACTTAATGTTTGATGCTATTCAAACTGGAGTAAAATTTGCGAACAATATTGTCATGACTTTGAAACTCAGTAATGGATTTTAATCATTAAATATTTTGAATTGGAATGCTCGATCTCTTAAAGATAATGAAGACGAGCTATTAAACTTTTTGAGAGTTCATAACGTGCATATTGCCGTTATAACTGAAACGTTCCTTAAACCTGACCATAAGGTTAAAAGGGACGGAAACTGTGTAGCCGCTGCGTCTATTCGAAAAGCTAGCTCATCCCGTAGTTGCTGTCGTTGCTGGTCTACTACTTGTCCAGACGCGGTTGGCTCCTCCGTTGAAGTGTTTACCGCTGCAATCCACTCACGTCTCTCACTCGCAAGTGATGCATTCAGCCCAACAGAACTCCTTCTCGACGTATCGCTCGATCCATTCCCTTCCCTCCATAGCTCCCTCCGCACTTCCAGCTTGATGCGCTCTACCTCGGCCGGTGCGAGCATCACGTACTTGTTCATCTCCCTCGTCCACATGATCCGCTGCATTTGGCGGCCTGCTAAAGTGAGCGATTGAAATACGGTGCGTCCCATCGTGCAGGAGTTGCTGGCTATCCGGTTTAACCGTGCTTTGGCTATTTATACGGATGGTTCTAAATGCGAGAACATAGTTGGAGCAGGTGTATTTAGCAGCAGCATTTAGCAAGCAATAGGTCTTCCGTCACAATGTAGCGTGTTTTCGGCGGAGGCCTTTGCAATCAAGTCGGCCGTCATCGCTGCGAGAGCATCAACCGAATGTGTTATCATTCTGTCTGATTCGGCCAGCTGTCTTTCGACCATAGAGAGTGGAAGATCGCAGCATCCGTGGAGCCAGGAAATCGAGCGCTTATTACGTGGACGGCCGATCCACCATTGTTGGATCCCTGGTCATGCCGGAATTCGCGGTAACGAAGAAGCAGACCGTCTAGCCAGTGAAGCACGAAACAGTCCACCAATCAATTTTTGGGAATGTAAGACTCGCAAAGCGATCCTACAATCTCGTTCTAACCGTCAGGTAGGAAACGCTCCACGTTTCCGACCAGGTACAAATTCCTCTGCTGTTAACAACGGTCAGCGAGGAACAAATTCTACATTCGTACCCGTAGGTACAAATATCACCCCTGCTTCAAATGTTTCATCTGTACCTACTCCCCTTGCTGCTAACAATGTTCAGCGAGTTAATGGAGCTACCTATGCTGCTATTGCAGCGGGTAGAAATCAAAATACTAACCAACGTTCTAACGGAAATTTTGACAATTTTGACTTAGGAAGCATTACTGCCCCCAAAATGGAATTTTTACAGAAATCATTAATTGACATGATTTCTGATATGCTTAAATCTAACTCCATGTTTGATGCTATTCAAACTGGAGTAAAATTTGCAAATAATATTGTCATGACTTTAAAATTCAGTAATGGATTTTAAAGCACTAAATATTGTAAATTGGAATGCTCGATCTCTTAAAGATAATGAAGACGAGCTATTTAACTTTTTGCGAGTTCATAACGTGCATATTGCCGTTATAACTGAAACGTTCCTTAAACCTGACCATAAGGTTAAGAAGGACGCAAATTACTTGATTT